ATGTCGTATATCAATTAATAATAATTATACAAATCATATTGATGATTATTATTTTGTAAAAAATCATCTTATGCAAGTAACTTCTGCAATTTCAATAAATTTAGGTATGTAACCGATAACTTTGTACTTAGAAACATATAAAATAAAAGCAATTAACAAAAAAAAATATATATACATATATATATATATACAGGGTATCCGAGAGAAAACTGTACACCCAGATAACTATTGAATGTGGGTAGTAATCGAAAAATCTTTCAAATAGAAGTTGTAGGGCTCCAAGAGGGAACAATTATGAGATATGTTTTGAGCATTTAAGTCTTCATGTTTTTATGCTACAAGCATAAGTTCATTTTTTTCATATGGGATCAAAAATTTTCTTGTAACAAAAGTTGTTGGACTCGATGAGATGAATCTAATGATGTCACACATAATGTGTTTTTTATGCTTTCTGAGCTCAAAAATACTAAAAATGGAACTTGCCTACGATATTCCAAATTCAGACACGATAAACAAAAAGTGGCCTTTAAATAAGAACCAGTAAACACCAAAGTGTAAATACCAGAGCTATCTGGTGTACCTTAGTTTTTATTGTTTCTTAGTTAGTACGAATCGGGTGATTATTGAGTTCAGATTATTTTTGAGTGATTTCGCGTATCATGGTTTATTCCGCAAATGAAGTTGTGGATATTCTACTGGTTTTGGGAGAATGCTGAGGTGCATATCGCGCGGCCGCTCGATTTATCGACAACGGTACCGACACCGATTACGTCATCCCTCAGCTTCATGCATTCGGGTTATCGAGAGAAATTGTCGAAGAGGAAGAGTTCTGCAACGACGACAACGACAACGACGGATGAATCCTGACAATCCTCGTACGCTTACCGTTTTGGCCATGGTTCACATGAACCCTCACATCTCTTTAAGAGAAATTGAGAGAGATTCAGGTATTCCACGAAGCACAGCTCACAATATTTTGAAATCGAACCGTTACCATCCATATCATATCAGATTGATACAAGCACTGTCTGCACAAGATAGACAGGATCGTGTTGCTTTTTGACACTGGGCCATAAGGATCTTGAACGAAAGTCCCGAGTTTTTCCAAAATGTCCTTTTCAGTGATGAGGCGACGTTTAAAAGTACTGGCGCATTAAAGCGTCCTAATTCCCATTATTGGTCTATGGAAAATCCTCACTGGACTCAGCACATTGACCACCAGCATCAGTGGAGTGTAAATGTGTGGTGTGGCATTGTTGATGGGCAAGTGATTGGGCCGTATTTTTTCAACGGAACAGTCACCGGTCAACGCTATTTACAGTTTTTACAAGATGACCTCCCAGTTTTATTGGAACATGTACACTTTCACACAAGACTAAGAATGTGGTTCCAACAAGACGGTGCGCCACCGCATTTTGCACTTTGTGTAAGGAATTATCTCAATGTTCTGTTTCCTCGTCGTTGGATCGGCAGAGGTGGTCCTGTTCTTTGCCCTCCGCGATCACCTGATCTAACTCCACTTGATTTTTATTTATGGGGCTACATTAAAGATGTAGTCTACAAAAATCGACCAACGACTGCAGAAGATATGAAAACACGTATCAGAGGCGCTATTGCCAACATTCCTCAACAAGCGCTTCGAAAGGTTGTGCACAGTTTCCGACGTCGACTTGAGTTGTGTCTTGAAGTGAATGGTGGGAACATTGAGCACATGTTGTAACGTCTTTCTAGTAGAACAATCCATTGGCGCCTTTTTGTTTCTCCTTTATTTTTCTGTTTATCGTGTCTGAATTTGGAATATCGTTGACAAGTTCCATTTTTAGTATTTTTGAGCTCAGAAAGCATAAAAAACACATTATGTGTGACATCATTAGATTCATCTCATCGAGTACAACAACTTTTGTTACGAGAAAATTTTTGATCCCATATGAAAAAAATGAACTTATGCTTGTAGCATAAAAACATGAAGACTTAAATGCTCAAAACATATCTCATTATTTTTCCCACTTGGAGCCCTACAACTTCTATTTGAAAGATTTTTCGATTACTACCCACATTCAATAGTTATTTGGGTGTACAATTTTATCTCGGACACCCTGTATATATATATATATATATATATGCAAAAAAAATTACCAGTGGCTGAACTTCAATCAGCAAGTCCTGACCCACCACTGGCGGAGGCCTGGTCAGCGAGCTTCGACGTGCCGAAGGTCAACCATGACTGGGCCAGAGCTGTTGCCAGAGTATGGGGCAGCCACCTATTTGCCAAAATGCCAGCTCTGGCACCCAGGGGTGGCCCAGGCTTCAACCAAGCTTGGGTACCCAAAGTTTGGCAAACCAAGAGATGACCGAGCTTCAACCGAGCTTGGGTGCCCAGAGCTTGGCTACCCGAGACTTATGCCAGGTTCGGCCCATTTCCTACCTGGGATAAACCATCGTTAAATCGGACCTTGGAAATCGATGAAATCAGACTTGGAACAGGCCGGAGTCACTCAAAGGGCTAAGGTTTTTACATTCCTGTTTTCGTCGTCAGCCTTTGGAATTCTTACCTGGGAGATCGATGATTGTTTTCGTAATTTTTTTTTGCAAATATCTAAGAAACTATCCAACCGATTTCCTTTTCTTAAATGTTCGTCGCAATATGCTCTGTATAGATCAGTAGGAATATATACATGTGTTCCTAGAAAGCTGATGAGATATTTCAATTATTATGTTTTTCAAAAAAATTTGCTGTACGCGCTCTCTGATTATTTGTTTAACTAAACGGTGCAGTCATTTTTCTCGAACGACTAAGACACAGTATTGTTACCATGCGCTGAGTCAATTTTTACTGACTTTTTTCCACCGTGTATGAGAAGACGAATTCGGTCGAATTCATTCGGATGCATTATACTACCCTTGAAATTGGTAGAAATTTTACTCCTTAATTAAACAAGCAATGTAGAACATATGTGGGTGTAGAACACTCTTAACTGAAAATTTGAGTTCTTAAAAAATTTAGCTGTTGAGAGGTACTGAAACATATGGTTTGGTGGTCAAATGAAAAGGAAGGCCGTAAGCAAAGTGTAAAACCGTGAAACATTGATTTTCTTGTTTCATTGAAGCACATTCTATTACACCGAGTTGTGTAACCGGTCTGTAACCCCACCAGTTAGGTGGATGATCTCGTAAAGGAATACTTGAGTGTTTTAGAAACTTGTAGAGGCAGAATGAAAAGGGGTGGGTGGAAATATGCAGAGGCGTTTTGTTACCGAAGAGTTTGTAGTCTATAGTCGCGAGTACCTCAAGTCGCTGGAATAACTCAAACCTCTTGAATTTAATATGAAACGCTTTTCAGAGAAGGTTATGTGTAAAATGAACCATGGCATAAAATAGATGTGTTCGCTAGTGTAGGTTTCACTGAATTCCTTTGTTCGCGGGTCATATAAGTCTCGAATCGGTTCGGCTATTCTCCCCTTCTCTTCACTTCTCCCGAGGGCACCACTACCCTTCGTGAGCAATTAGTGATTCTTCCGAAGGATCGATGAACATTTTAATAAGAGACATGTCTGACCTCCAAGCAATACTCTCTATAGAGCAGCGGTGTGATGTCCCCGAATTTGATTATTATTCCGTCAATTCGCCAAGTCCGAAAATTGCCAATCAGAATATCGGATGCTATCGATCTTGTACAAACCACCGTTAGGTCACTTTTCTTCTTGTATTATGAATATTTACACCGATTCAGGTCATTGCGAAATTCGGACAACCACTGTTTTCAATTCATCGACGAGAAATTAAATTGAGTGTGTTCTTCATTTTCTGGAGAAATTAATAAGCTTCTCAAGGATTTTATCTTGAATTGGAATAAGGTCAATATTGAAGTAGCTTTAGTGTTACGATGAATTAAAATATTACTCGATTAGACTCGGAATCGTCATCGGTTGTCGCAGCTTTCCAAAACAAAAATCATCATTTCTTTGATGCTTTAAAATTGAACTGGAGAGTAAATATTGAATAAAAATATATGCTGGTCAACATGGAATTTTGTTGATAAAACTTGAATTGCATGTTTGGATCAAAGTTTCCCGCAACACTTTCCGTGAAAACGTGAATATTCAGTATCTTATTTCAGTTAATTATGGAAATTCAAGAATATATTAATGGCAATATTCTCACCCAGAACAATGCATATTTTAACTGTGAAAAATGAACTCAATGTTATGTATAAATATTATTTATTTCGTATTTATCCAAACAGAAAAATCAGTATCAATATAAGATAAGTCGCCGCAGACTTTTTTTGTATCATTGATTAATCTCAAATTTTCTGATTTGAGGTGGAAAGAGGAAAATAGTTTTATGCAATAGATTTAATTTCGGCTCAGACTGTCGGAAATTTCTATCAATTTAAATCTACAATATCGTAAAAAACGTAAGAACCTTGCCAATCCAACCAACAATGCGCTCAGTAACTAAGTAACTTAACCGGATTTAATACATTCCTATGATTGAGTACTTTAATGAGACTCTAATGATTAGTGTAAAACCGGATCAGTTGCCAACACCTCAATGCTTATAAGGGAAACTCACCTGAGTATACGTCATCCAACAGCAAGGCTCGACCTGATTGGAATCGAGTCCCCAGAATTCGAGTTCCTCCTCGAAGAGTGGGCCACACACATCGGTAGGATAATGAAGTTTTCCAGTGCGATAGTAGTTCAACACCTGTGCAAAGACACCTGGATGTCTGTCAAAGAAATACTCGTTCAATATCGGATCGTAATTAGCCAATGCTTCAGTCAACCTCGACAATCTAGTGGCGGGTATTTTCTTGAGTGTTGCTTTGTACGTTTCGTGCCTGATACCGCCAACATTGAGAACCACCCGGTTCTCCGTGTCCATAGTTAACACATTCATGATTATTGATTTTTATCGGCCATTGTTAGTGATTACAGATGATTTCTGGAAGTTTTAAGTGGATGTGGAGTGTTTGACCGGCAATTATTCGTCGGATTCAATCGACTGTGTGCGATCAGAGTCGATCCTTGCCCCCTCCTATCGATCCCCGAGGCTCTCTGCTACCGCTGGTAACTCACTGCTGTACCGCGCCGCGTCACCTCCTATCAACACAACCAGCGAGAGTCATCGATTACTCTTATGCAAATGTTTCATATAGGCTTCCACCAATAAAAAGACTGTATTTTAGTATATATCTATGACATAGACTAAAGACATAGCTTTATTTTAGTCGATGACAGTCTAAAATTCACGTTCAGGATTCAAATAGAGATTCTGTGCTCGTTCAAGTTCTCAACAATGTGGGGATTGAGGCAACTTCAAGTCAAGTCGCAAAGTGTGAAGTGTAGTTGAAAAAAAGGTTGTTTTTAGAATAGCATTTAAAAAGACTTCTTTGAGGTATTAGCACGTTAGATTTGGATATTTCAATTTAATTCCTAAATGTTAAAAATAAATACTCATAATTAATGACGTCTTTTAAATACTTATTAATAATGCTCTACATTAATAGTATTAATTTGAGACATCGGAAAGTGTTAAGTAGAGATTTTTTTGAATCTTAAACTAAGATTTATGGGGGTCTTAATTTTAAACTTTTAAAAGTTTCACAGTTTCAGACTTTGAAACGCGCCAATGCGCGCTTATACCAAGTAGATTTCGATTTTACTAGGTGTACTTAACACCGAGGTTTTCCCCTTATTTTGCGGTTCTGCAGAGTCTAGGGATTCCATTATTCCGTGCTCCAATTTACGAAGCCCCACCGGTTTTGTTTGTTGACTACAAATATACGCGGGGATAATCCAATTGTAACAAGAGCCAGATTCATAGCACACGCAAGTTTTATTAACGCGATCATATTCTCGCCTGAAATTCACGGATTCGAAAAATCTCCATTCATTATTAAACATCATATTATTCAAGTAGTTTAAAGTGTGGGGCAAAAAGCGGGGATCTGATGGAGAAATTTCGACGAATCATTTTGAGAATCGCCATATATTGAAGAGAACCGCTTCACCATTTTCAACATCCATTGAATTGCATTTTCCCCTCTGGCAATATCCGCGGTATCTACATCTCGTGTACAATGACAGCACGAAAAATGGGAAATCGAGGGGTGCAAGAAAAAAAACAAGGGATCTCATGAATTTCATTGAGCGGGCGTCAAAACATATAGTTTCGAATTATCCCGACTCGTATTCATGAAAAAATCGGATTTTATATCACGGACAACTTATTTTTTCCTCTTTCATTTCTTTTCCCTCAGTACATAAAACGTATAAATACAAATAAACTGCCCTTTCCTTTCTTTTTACGAACAATTTTGATTCTGAACAAGTGAAATCTGTAGATATTGAATTTACAAAATTACTGGAGCGTTGTAAAAATGTATGCAAAATATTACCGCACCATATGAATTTAATAGGAATCACAGTAATTATTATTATTGTTGGCTTCCGGATGAATGCCACATTTCCTTACGTTTTGCAAACATTGCAGTCTGCATCTTTAGGACTAAGAGCTCTGTTATTTGAGTGTAGTCCTTGTATGCCTTCCCATGCAGTGGGGGTGGTAAATGTGCGAAGAGTACAGTGCAGGGCCGGGGAGGGGAGGTTCAAGCAATTACTTTCAATTATTATTCACTACTTTTGCTTCGAATTGGAAACATTAGAATCGTCCGATTTTCCGATTGTCTAACTTTGCGGGGAAATTATGTAGAAGTCTGGAATGGAAAAATACCAAGTTTGAGTAGAAATGGTGCTGAACTTTTAGGAAAGGGGACGAATAAACGGATAAATTGATTCTATGAAAATTTGTTAATTTATAGGTCCTAACATGGGCTTGATCTGAGATAAATTTTAGCGCGTTCGGTCGAGACGTTTTCGAGATATCAGTGATTGTTTCTGAAATATTTTTTGCAAATATCTCAAAACTATCGGAACGGATGTAATTTTGTATATTTGTTCTCAATGTGCTCTATGTCGATCAATCAGAATATAGATATATACAATATGGGTGATTCTGCAGAAATAGTAATACTTATGTGAATACCGTGGCCATTCGGATGTGCTTCCCAAACTTCAGCCGAACGATCGTAGACACATTGGTAGAATCTGCTAACGTGGTATTAATGGCATCTCCGAGTGTAATAATTTTGTAATACCTATCCTAATCAGAATAACATCTAGAGTACATTTTCAGAAAGTCACGGTACTTACATAGACAGTTCGTTTTGAAACATTTCTGGAGAACGGTAGCAGAAAATTATCGAATTTGACTAGAATAAATAAGAAACATATGGCGGCACAACGTTTCATCTGTCAATTTCGAGAATAGAGTAACATCATGAATAAATTCATTATTTAAGACACGCTATACTGACATAAATACTCTTGAATATCGCAGCACTGACTGGTGAATCACATATGACGCATTCCACACTATTGCAAAAAAAAAATGTTTTTTCTTTATTCTGACATAAATTAAGTATGTGGTAGAAAGCCCCCTCAGATATTCTGAAACACGAGGAAAGAGAACACCAAATAGTTTTTCATGAAAAAATTCATTAATTTCTAAAATTGCACTGTGTTGAATATTTTTGCTGAATTCTGTGCAATTTTAGAAGTTAAATTAAATTAGCTTTTTTTGTACTTCTCAAAACTTCATTTGAAAGGGGGATAAATTCCTAGATAAATGATATTTATACTATTATTTTATTGCGTATTAACTTTCTAGATGCCTAGAACATCCACTCAACGTCGCAGATGTGTGGATACAACTTGCTCGGTAGAGCAATTTCACCACTGCACTTTTATAATTAATATCTCAGGCCCTATCTTGAAACACCCTTTTGAAATATAACCATCGATACTCAGTCAAGTACTCTATCACATATCTTTTTTTCTTATTTTTAAAAACCTGCTCACACGTTTTTTTTTACAATTTTTATAATTGTTTATCTGGAAAGGTATTTTGAATTGAACTTCACTATAAAGATGAAATTGTGAGATGAATATATAATTCTTTTGCAATAAAAAAGGATTCCATTATATTTCCGATACAACCAATTTTTATCGAGTTATAATGCTATAAACATTTGCTTGTCCTGAAGCACCACCAATTTGTATGTTGTATAACTTTTGACTTTTACCACATATCAAAAAATTGCACAAAAGTAGTTTTTGGCCGATACGAAATGGTGTGAAATGCCTCAGAATGTGAAATATATTCAGAAAAGTTATTCATCTCCACGAATTTTCAAGGAAATATCCGGTCAGTCAGCACTGACTTAGTAGCAGGTCTGATCCTGTAATGATAATGAAAAGTGTGATTTCGTGACAATCACACCCAGATAGTACTATACTTAAAATACGTGATATAATGAACGCGATAATTAACGGGATCGATCTTACAATGTACGAGTTTTAGGTCGTAAGATACGTGATTCGACCTTGTAATTTACGCCCCCTTTCGCGAAATTTACGACATCTCAATTACATCGAATCCGTGATTGGGATGGTAAATGCAAGGACACATATTAAAAAAACTTTTTGGGCAGCGTAAAATCTTCACATTTAAGGATATTTTGTGTCATTTGAACATGACTTTCAGTAACTTTTTTACGTGGTTTTAGCTTGTAATTTACGTTTTCAAACTCGTAACCCGAGTCAACATTTTAGTTGGATTTTCAACGTATTTCTAGCTCCCCGTACCGTCACACTTTGATGTTGAAATTTTCCGCCCATTTTTCAACGTACTTTCGACCGACCTCAATGTAATGGTCGTCGGACGTCGAAAACCCGTTCAATTGCTACTCGGGATTTCGACGTACCCTCAACTATCATAACGGCGTCTCCCGATTATCATATTTACCACTGGCTTTGACTTTATTGCAATGTTTCACATAATTTTTATGTAAGAATGATTTACTACTTTTTATAATTACTAACTCAATGTAACTCTTAAATAACTTCCTTCTTTTATTCTTTAACAAAAATTTGCCTTTCATTCAACTCTGATTATTTATAAGGGAGGGGGATATCGTAGAGGGTGGGATGGGCCCCGTGCCCAGCAAAAGGAGAATTGACGTTGAAAGCCCGTTGAGTGTCCGTTGAGTTCCGATGGATTTTCAACGTAAAATGAGGAATATTTGGAAATAAAACCCAATATTTACGTCGACAGTCAGTCGATTCTCAACGCCATTTAAACATCGCAAACGGACTAATCGAAGTTGGAATTAAGTCGACAAACCAACGAAAATTTTGACTCGGGAATGTACAAGATCAGAAATTCCGTAAATTAAGTCTTCAATCTTGTATTTTCAGTATATCTTTCTACTAATTGTATCGGTAAAAATGGAAAATGAGAAAAACATAAAGTAATGGTTAAGCACCTCCTGCCTAATAGAGTTGGTCAACTAATTGTTTTTTAATATACTAGTATTTGAATTATATTTTGCGTAGAGAAGTTCAAACCCATGGGAATTATTGCCTCCATTTGTATGAAACATTATGGAACTGGGAAATAACTCAAGAAACACTAAACACTAAAATATACCATATAAATTCATTAGTAAATGATTCATATTCAATTAATCGGGACGAATAATAACTGGTCTGTTGAGAATAAAGGTTAATTATGCCATTGCAATTTCCTTGCGTCTCAATCTATCAACAATAATATTCGAAAGCAAACAACATAAAACAAAAAAATAAAATTTGCATGAACGTGATTTACAGAACAAGATAGAAATTTTGGGTTTTACTAAAAAATTACTAAGATTACAAAAATTACTAACGGGCCAGAACGCGTGAATTTCATAATTATTCGAAAAAATAATTTGAAAAAATAAGTCAACATATATACGTTCCCGAGTCAAAATTTTCGTTGGTTTGTCGACTTAATTCCAACTTCGATTAGTCCGTTTGCGACGTTTAAATGACGTTGAGAATCGACTGACTTTCGACGTAAATATTGGGTTTTATTTCCAAATATTCCTCATTTTACGTTGAAAATCCATCGGAACTCAACGGACACTCAACGGGCTTTCAACGTCAATTCTCCTTTTGCTAGGCACGAGGCCCATCCCACCCTCTACGATATCCCC